CCTAAGGCAAACTACGAGCTGACAGTTCTTACTTTTTTCAGTATCAGGTGAGTTCTTGCACTAGCAAAGCATCACTTCATCTAGGAAGTCCTTTCACCAGAAAGTATTTATCCCGATGGTGAGAGTTTAAAGTGACAACCAAAATACAGTCAGAACTAGCAAACTATAGATTTTCAATTTATCAGAAGGCTATTACTAATGCTTGCCTGTTCTTTAAAGAAAGATATTTGTTTTACATAAAGATACATATCCCTGGTGATTTTAGACTTCAGAAAAATGACATGGAATAAGAGGCTGCTCTTTGCCCTTAAATTTGAAAGAAATTATCCTAATTTCTTAATTTACGCTGTTGCTTTTAGTATTTGTGTTGCGGTCGATGTAGTTTGAGAGTCAGCATGACTAGGCCGCTTAAGCAAAACAGTTAGCATACCTGGACGGGCCGTTGGAAAGGACAGCTGAGAATAACAATTGAGAAAGTTCTGATAGTGCACATGGTGTGGGTTAGCAAAAACAAGATGTGTTCAAGGATGTGCAGGCGGTCTGTTGCTATTGGCGTTAGTGCATAGTTACCAACCATAAGGGAATGTGGGGTGCGTGAACAGCGCGTGATTTATGTCTGTAGCCTATTCGAATAAGCGTGATCGCGTGTGCAGATGTGAAAAATGTATATAACCACGCAAGCAGAGCAATAAATCGAATCGGCTGTGCATTGTATCAATGTGTGAGAGTCATTCCTGTCCCTGCATGGATGCTGAAACTCGGCATATTTGCTATATAGTACTGTATACTATTAACTAAGTTTCATGACACCTCTGTCAGGCAGATGTTTTAAAAAAGGAAACAGAAGAGATATACAAAGTTTTGGGAAAAACCCTCTAATCCATAATCCTGACGTGATTTCCTCACGTTTTTCTGGGAAGAATCCTGCAGTGGAATCCCAGACTTCATATTCAATTAGGACAGAAAATACTCTTTGCTCATAAAACTTGCTTAACATCTCACAAAACTCCAACAAAAGTGCAGTTGCATGGATCACCAGTACCTTAAACATTGAAAAGAAATGCGTGTGAAAAACACCCACTCTGTGAATAAGTTCAAGCATATAAAAGCCAAGAGCAAATACTCACGCTAATGTATAATATTTGATCAGTCTCAGATATTAAACTGCAAAATATATAATGCTGCAAGGAAATAAAACTTATTGGCAAATCAGCCCAGAATACTAGTGGCAGAACACAGCCCCAGGGGAGAGGCACATCTCATATGGAAAATAACATGACAAAGTCCATAAAACAAGTTCAAATGCATCTTAATGCCAAGGAACAGTGCAAAACCAATGCATTTATTTTCTATTAATGACAAGGTCAGATATAAATCTGTGACTGAAATCTGCAGCTAACCTAACACTGAGCAGCAGCGACCGTTCACCATATGGAGCAGCGTTGATGCGGAGGGGCAGGAAGGGCACGAGAAGGGCAACTCTCCAGCTCATTCCCCTGGCCCTCCCGGCAGATTCGCGTCCGGTTGAAATTTCATGCCAAAAGAGCTTTACAGCGATGCTCAGAGAGGGACAACAAGATTAAAAAGGACATAAAGAAGGGGGCAGGGAGCTATAGATGTTTTCAGGGAAAGCCAGCAAGGTATAGGGATAGAGGAGGACAAAACCATTGTGCAAAAGAAAAGATGGACTGCTCAAAAGGAGAGAATGAACCAGCAGTGATGAGCACTGAATATCAAGAACAGATGAAGGCAAATGCAGGCTAAAGTGCAACTGCTTTAGGATTTTATTTTTAGTCATATTGTTAGAGAAAATCGGCTTTCAAAGCAGACTACTTCATGATAGCACGTTCATCTGCCTTTAACCAGGATGTATAAAGACTACATTGCCAGAATAAAGGAAACTTTAAATGTTGCTGTAAACTCTTTACTAAACAAAAAGACCTCAAACTGCCAGCTACAGATCCTGAACCTAACTTTCCAAAGTTTGAAGCACCAGTACTGCAGAATGTTTCTCATTAGAAGTGTTTTTAAGAGTACTTAGAGGAAAGGGTTCATTTTGTAGTATTATCAGTAATGTCAAGGACAGTAAGAATTTATGTATGCAAGTTGTAATGGATTCTCAAAACCAGAAACATCTATCATCAGAAAATATTAATGAAATTTGACATAATTCATGTAAACTCAGTCTACTGGCATTTATGAACCAGTCACTTCAAATTCCCCATTTCTAGCCACATTAGGTCTTACACATACAGTCTTTCCACCATGAAAAAACTGACCTATTAAAATTCAGAGATGGCAAGCAGAAAGCAAGGTTACTTATTGAAGCAGAAGGAGTAGACACGCCACCAGACTGCCCAGCCTTCTGCTGTTGTTGTACATACAGCCTTCTGCTGGGCAGAGATCTAAATCCAGTTCAGAGACACGGAGAAGAATCAGAGCGACTTTAAACTCTGGAAAGGCACATTTTCTACAGAGCATTTCTTTGCTTCTGTCAAAACACATGAAAAATTAATGCCGATTCATTACACATCAATGCATTTGTATACTCCCCTGTTATCAAGTGCCCAAATGAAAACAGTCTGTTCTGAATAATTTAGTCCTGAATCATCAGCCAGCTTTCTTCTGTAAATCCAGGAGATCTTCACTATTCGCCAAATCACATCTACGACTGACAACCTTTTAGAAAAGATGTTCTCTCTATTAAGTTTCAGAAAGGTACCAGCATATGTGTATTTGATGTGCTACAAAACTTGCTATTTAGAACAGATACAAATATGCTAACAACAAAGCAAAAACATGTACAAAGGCTATAAAACGTGATGGTTTTAAGTTTGTGGGCTGGATCCAGTGCGCAAGAACAACTTGTTCAACCTCCAATAGTTGTCTCTGCGACTATCTTTCCAGGAGGTTCCCAAACACATGTGGGAAGAGGCTGAGGGTTGGATGAACTGTTCTGGCAACTCACTTGCTGCCTTTTCAGCCCCAGGGTTCCCAAAACTCAGCCCATTACAGGAGTGTGCAGCCTGATGTGAACTGCCTCAACCAAAAGCTTTTCAGCAGAGAACCTATTTAATCCAAAGCTGAAGACTACATGAAATCACAGCTCTTAAAATAAATGCCAATTTTGCCTCAAGTGGTGACAATGGTAATTACTCCGTGATTATTTCTGTAAGTACCAGTCTAATACCCTTATTCGCACCAAGCATCAGACTTGCCAACAGCTCACTACTCTCCTCAGCAAAGGAGGCAAAAGTTACGTCTGATGGCAGTTCAGAAAATACATCCACACAACCCCTTCCTTTTGAAATATGAAGCCACATTGCTAAAATAATTCATTTTGGTTTCGTTGTGGGGCTCTTCAGTAAGAGAAATTACAGTGCCTCAGAAATGCATATTCTTCCTTCACATTCACATGCCCTTTCTCTCATTGCACAGGGTGGAAGAAATATAAATGTACTTGCTGATTGATGTTACCGTAATCATCCATTACTGGGGAAGAAACAATTTCAAAACAAGAGTCACTAACTACATAATTCCCTTACGAAATACAACAGTGGCTCTGAGTTAAGGATTTTTTTTTTTAATGAACACGGGTATTCTTCCCATTTGCTCACTGATGTACTCATTGTAACTTACTTACTGTAACCCCTTTTTTAAAAAAACTTTTTCCATTTGTTACTAATGGAGTATAATTTTTTCCAATCTCAAGATCCTGAGCAGAAAACTCAACCTTTTTGAGGCTAGGAAAAAACCTAAAAACACACACCATTATTGCATCGGTCACTACAGGGATACACAAGTGGAAGGTGGAGGGTCACCACCTAGGGAGGGTAGGCTTTCAAAGACTGGGAGAAAAAGTGGATCAACAGAAGAACTTCCAACAATATATACTGTCTCTGTAGGATCCCAATTTACTTGTACATTCATTCTCGCCTTGGTATAGCCACACAGTTTCAAGTAAATCACTCGGTCTGCACAGGTATACTCCAGGTGTGTGTATACGTGTGTGTGTGTGTGTGTGTGTGTGTGTGTGTGTGTGTGTATACTAATGGAATATAATTTTATCCAATCTCAAGATCCTGAACAGAAAACTCCACCTTTTTATATACACACACACAGTTTCGGTGTACTTAATCTAGGTACTGTTTTGCTATAAGCTATTAAAATATTATGAAATCCAAGGAAACTTGCTAACTGTTAACTATTAACATCAAAACCCCCAAATTAGCTGATGGTATGGTTTCCAGTAGCTACTGCTAAGAAACGAGGTTTGAAGAATTGCTAACACATTGCAGAGGAAAAAGATACCAAACTCAAACACATTTCCTGCCAGAAAAAGAGAAAAAGAGAAGATAGGAAGCCGTGCCTTTAGTTGTACATTCATATGAATTATAAAGATTAAAAAGAAATGCAGTCTTCAGACGGATAGAGCTATACATCTCTTTCAGGCAGATAAGACCAGATTGCACAACATGACTGGTAATAAAGATGTACTTGTAACATGAAAATAGGTGTTATGTAAAATAAAGAGGAGTCTTTCCCCTCATTTGTCCTAAAATGTAAGGGATGCTTGACCATCATAATTTGTGAACTTTATTCTTTTTCAGCTTCTATTTTGCAGGTATTACCTAATGTTAGTATTTGATCGGGGCAAAAAAAAAAAAATTAATTGACTTTGCAGTGCATGGAATACAATTTTAATGTAACTGCTAGTACAGCTGATTTTATGTTTGATTTCTACATCCTCAAATTTTCAAAGCTTAACAAAAAGAGAACTGTCAATACATATATGAAGATACAAAACAAGCAAAAATTGCATTCACCACCCAGAATGTATCTTTGTATCCGAAGATGGACCACAAGTTCAAGTACGTTAAAGGCCCAGTGGTGAAAATTACACTGATTTGATTTGGATGCAGTGAATTCAGCACCAGGCAGAATGTCTCAGCGCATACATAGCTAAATCAGGTTAGTATATTTTGCAAAAGAAAGTTTACCTGCCCATTTTTTCCCAGTTCCATTTCAACTATTGCAACAGGAGTGTTTATCTGATCGATGCGTCTTGACTGTGCCTTCAGATCGACTCGCCAGTTCATGTTTCTCAAGACATTATCCCAACGGCTTTGATTGATCAGGCTCTCGTGGATCTTTATGCGGTGGTTCTTCCAAAATTTTGCAATGACTGCAGCCTGATCTGATGTGATGCCACCTTGTTTTTTGGTTTGGGCAGTGAGAAAAGCCTCCAGCTCTTTCAAATAAGGGAGAAGCTTGATCAAAAATACTCTCTAACAGTCTAAGCTGAACAGTCTACGAAAAGGTCGCACATTTGGGGTTTTACAAAGATTGGACTTTAAAGGGATAGTGCAAACAAAGCTGGGTTATGGAAACAACCTGACAACTTTCATTAAAACTCAATTTGCAAGCGCCTACCACTTCTCCAAGATCCCTGTCCCCAGACAGCTGGAGGGTAATGGATCGTTAACAGTGATGAGGAATGCGGGAGCGCCTTTGGGAATGCAGTACTGGTACAGGATAACAAGGAGGCTTCTCACTGTCTGCCTGGCCCTTTCCCCAGTAAGGCCTAGGCATACCCAAATGGTCACTGCTGAGAGCACTGGGTCAGGCACAATACTGCTGTTGTGATGGTCTGTTAAACAGGAAAGCTGGGGCAAGCACGGCATGTGCCCAGCCAAGGCTGAAACGAGTGACGAGACATCCCAGCTCGTTGCAACATCCAGTTTCATCTGCCACCTCCACACCGCAGACAAGGAAGCAAAACTGGGAAACGCTGCACCAGCCAAGCTGCAGCAGCAAGAGCGCGAGTCTCCCAAGAGAGAGCGTGAAGCAGCCCTTAAAAATGCAATTGCAGCTTCTTCTGAAGCGTGAGGGGACCCTGTGAGGATAAATACTGTATCTGTCTTTTGCAAGGGGGTGTAAGGGATCATTTACTCCTCCTCCCTTCACAGCGACAGAAATGATTCTTCCCAAACCACTTTTTTAATAGATATCCATTTTTTCCACCTATTTTTCCAAAGCTGATAATCCTACAGCCTTAAATTTGCATTGCCTAACTGGCAATGGTTGCTAAATACAGCCATGAAGGGAGGGGATGACCAGCGGTGGAGAGAGAGGAAACTGTGGCCAAGTTTCCCCATCGTAGTTTCAAGCAGATGCTTTTGCTTCATTCTCACCCAAAACGGGTGCAGCTTATCCTAAATGAACACGCCACCTCCAAGCACGCAGCGATAGGGAGCATAGCAGGTGAAGTGCAGCCAACACTGCAACCCTTGGGATTTCCCTCCATGTAGTTTTCCTTGACACAGTATTCCCACTGCTGTACTCCGTATGTTCAGGGAAGTAACGATCTCGCTCTCGTTAGCCAAGGGCGTGGCAGCGTGTGGCTTTTGGCCGGACACACACTGTGTGCTTCACAGCGCTTGTCTGCAAAATTGGGTGTCGCTTATCTAAAAACCAACGGGTTAGCGCTCCGTGAGCTCGCCGAGGACGCGAGACCTGCTGCTTCTCCCCATTTCATCGGTGACGAACTGAAGTTGGCAGTGGGGTGAGCTACCGGGTAGGCTTTGCTGCCTTCCTCTAGACCAGACCGATATCAGAGGATGCGATCTTAGCCACCTCGGGAGCAGCCTCAAATAAAAAGGCAGGTAAGAAAAAAAAACAAGCACAAGAACTAGCCTGAAACAAAGAGCTCACACGTCACATAAGCAACAGAGAAAGGCGGTGGGTTTGCTGCTCTGAAGGGAGCAAAGCCAACATCGTGACGTGCTCAACCTTCAGCAGATACACCGCCACATCCTCCGTGCCCTGAGTTTTTTTCCAAGAGAAAAGCAAACGAGAAACAACTCCCCTAAAAAACCCAAACAAACAACTTAGATTTACAACTCTTACGCTGCCTTTTATCATCCAGTGTATAAGATCTTTCTCCTAAGGGTTTTGTGGTATTTTTTATAAGAGGAAGCACTGCTTTCCCTCGCTCTCACAATGGATTAGCTGCCATCTGTTACGTGATCGAGAAATGAAATGGCAATCCACATGAAGTAACTGCTCGCCTGTATCAGGGTTTCAGCTTAATAGGAGCACCTGCCAATTTACTACAAAATTTCAGATGCGTGGTGCACCGCTCTGTCTTTTCTACAAGGCATTCAGCGTATCTGTATATGTTGTTTGCTTTTATCATGAAGTTATTTAACTTAAGAGTAATTATCCCATAATATCTAACTATGCTGTAGTGAAAAAAGCACTTCATTTTCAAAAGAAAAGCTATTTAGATTTATAGTCCTTTCCTACACCCACATCTTACATGAACAGGACTGTCTATGAACAGCTGTGTGAAATATTATCTGTTTTCATATTTTTCATATCACTACATCTGTGTGGGGATCTGCTTACATGTTATGTGACACCAACTGCTGCTTATGTCCACCTTTTGTGCCGGTTTCTGTGAAGGGGAGAGGAACAGAGGTGAAAAAGCAACTTCAGACCCCAGCACCATGTGTAAGCCCTGTCAAGACCAAGATCAAGTCAAAACACAGGCTTTCTTCTCAGTTCAGCTGTGCAGAAAATTGCCTTCTGTTCTATTCCTGTGCAGCAACCAAGAACACAAACTGCGTCCTCTGCACTGAATGAAGCAAAGGTGTCATGGAGAAACATCTAATCTGTACTAAATGTGAACCTAATGCAGATCCACCAGATCAAACAACCAGGTAACCCTTTCCTTGGCTTGATTTTATAACTGTCAAATATATCACATTTGTAATTCTTAGAGGTTTCTTTTAACCTCACCCCCTTCACAACAACTCTTTTGCCAGATGCAGCAAGATCTCTGGCAGTGCTTTGCTAAGCTGATAATATACACACACAAACTTCCTTATTGTGCTTGAAACATGACATAAATCTAACTGCTAAGTCTATCTGAAAGAGGAAGCTTATGACCAAGCTTGCAGTTGAAGTGTAAGGAAGACAAAACAACATTACCAGGGTTTATACAGGACAGTTAAACTTGCCTGTTTGGCAAATATCATCAACAGATTGATGGTTAGTTAAGACCCAGCACGAGCTACATTTAAAATCTCTGTACGTTCATGTACTATAAGCACCCTGATACATTTTGCTACCAAAATACCATCACATAAACCAGAGGAAGGAAACCATCTATCACACTTAATAATCATTTCTCTCTCTCTCTCAGACACGTGTGCACATGTACACACAATATGGATCGCTTAATACTGCACACACAGAATCACAGAATGTTTGGGGTTGGAAGGGACCTCTGTGGGTCATCTAGTCCAACCCCCCTGACAAAGCAGGGTCACCTACAGCAGGCTGCACAGGACCTTGTCCAGTCAGGTCTTGAATATCTCCAGAGAAGGAGACTCCACAACCTCCCTGGGCAGCCTGTTCCAGGGCTCTATCAAACATACATACACAGCTAAGGAACCAGAAGATAACAGCCATGCTGTATTTTGGCAGAATATTTCTCAGATGATGCATGTTTTAAATTAACATATCGATACAGTCCATCATTCCGACTAGAATCCCTCTCAGCTTGGAAACAGGACTGCAACTTAACAGCTCCTTTTGTTAAAAAAAAAAAAAAAAATAATTGGAAGCAGGTAGAAGCAATCAATGAGTTATACCTCAGTACAGTTGCATGAAGATATTAATGAAGGCTATTTTCTTTGAAATTCCTCAACAAAACCTACTGGCTATAAAGGTTTTCAAGTCACAGAAGAACAGCAACTCATTTTAATATTCTTCTTCATCTTAACTTGGCAACATTTCACTGCGGACAGGAAACTTGATAGAAGTTACAAAGAATGAGAGAACAATTACGGTCTTTGCTGATTTTCCATCTCCTTTCTTGTACGAACACTTACACAGCTCATTCTTTAAACAAGCGTAATTCTACCCCATTGCTCATACGAATGACCACAGTTAAACTGTGGACTTCTTTTTAAGCTTGAGGAAATGTTTCAATTTAACTTGACAAAAAATATATATTTCCACTCATATTCTGAACAGCATTACAAACAGTTCTTTCCATTACTTTTAACAATGCTTATTTATTACATAGAATATCAAATTACAGTAAATGCACCTTATTGATATTTCCAAGGATTTATTTAAAGTTAAAACACAAGCGGTTCTTCTGTGCTTATAACTAAAGACAGATAAAATATATCTGATTCTATGTCTCCCCCTCACGCTTTTAAACCCTTGGAGCTTCGGATGAGCATTTACCACCACCAGGACAAAGACCGATGTTGTCCAGCTCCCACAGCAGTGATGAAGACAGTTTCACTGCTGGAATAAACAACACAGACATTTTAGCATCATTACTGGAAACTTCTCAGGACTTACAGTTGTTGAAACCTATTTTATCCACCAGCTCCTACAGCTGAACCACTATCAGCATTGCTCCAAGAGGGATATATCTTATCAATGCCAATTACTTAGTACAAACAGACCTTAAAGTGCAGAATCTACTGCAGTAACTTGAGCCACTGTACTGTCAGTGGCACATGTCATTCTATTATATTGACTTTATATCCTGAATGAAGTGTGTGTACATGGAGATCCTGCCACCTCATCTCTTCAGCAGTCACAGAATCATAGAATCATTAGGGCTGGAAAAGACCTCTAAGATCATCAAGTCCAACCGTCAACCCAACACCACCATGCCTGCTAAACCACGTCCCAAAGTGCCATATCTACACATTTTTTGAACCCATCCAGGGATGGTGACTCCATCACTTCCCTGGGCAGCCTGGTCCAACGCCTAACCACTCTTTCAGTGAAGAATTTTTCAATAACCATACTTTTGCAATATATTATCACAGCCTCCATTTTATTTACAGACTGTCCGATCTCTACGCAGTTCCACAGCACATCAAGAAGAGCTGCGCTAGAAGTATGACACCAAGGAAAAAAAGTGTAGATGTGGCACTTCGGGATATGGTTTAGCAGGCATGGTGGTGTTGGGTTGACGGTTAGACTTGATGATCTTAGAGGTCTTTTCCAACCTATGATTCCATGATTCTAATTCCAATTTTTATTGGTAATCACAAATAGTTTACTATTTTGACATAAAAATCTTCAACTAACAAAAAGCAGAAAAGTTTTCTAAGTAAGTATAAAATTGTAGCTACAGTATGCCAGTGAGTAATTTCATTTACATTACTATGACTATTCACTTGAGTGACTAAGTAAAAAAAGCCTATTTTCAAA